GCGCATTTTTCGAACATGAAGGGTGATGTTTCGGCGCATTATTTAACCACCAACGGTGCGTTGTCGATTTTCTAATTTTCATCGTGATGCGGTCAACAATAAGTTAACTCGAATCACCTCAAATTAAACCTGCAACGAATATTCAAGAATCGACACGGTCTTGTGATGATCTTCTTCGATTCGATGGATTAGGCGTTTCCTGCGTAAGAAAAATATACGTTAGGGTGCCGAAGCTTGGTTCCGGCGAAAACCCTCCGATGCTTAAGTCAGTCCAGATTTGATGCAGAACGGAAGCACGGTAATTTCTACGAATTAATCCTATAGAACAAAATAACATTCGGAATCCACCGAAAACTCTGGAATCCACCAGAAAAATAGAGAAAACTCTAAAGATTTTATTAAAATTCGAAATTCTTCTAAAATAAAGTCCTAAGGCAGCTATTTATACTAAAAAACTGAAAACCCTAATTAAAATAAGAAAATACTAAAAATTACCAAAAACGGCAAAAACGAGTTAGAGTCTGATTCTAGTAGATCTCGTAATTTTGGGAACAACCCAATTTACGGAATCCTAATCCGATTTTTCTATGATTTGATATTAATTTTCTAAAACTTACCTAAAATAGCAAAAACGAACTTTTGGGAGTCTAAACGATGTTGGATTGTTGAAATTTGACGTGATTCATGAGCTTTGCTCATGAGTTTTGTTCCTTGCGCCGTTTCACTTGAGATAGAGTTCGTTTCGTACTCAAATACAATTTGAGTTTTTCGAAAACCCTTACTTTTCCATAATTTCTTTCGATATTTCCACCAATGCCCATTAATAACTCTTCTTCGAATTAAATAGTTATTTTGCAACTCGAATCCAATTTGACGTCCCTTATCAATCTCCTCTTCTTCAAAAGAGCTCGACCTCGAGCTATGATCAAAATATAGCGATGCATATTTCTTTGCAAACAACTTCAAGTGCTCCACCAATATTTCCGGCACAAAAATCTCGCTTACAAAATCTTCTTCCAAACGAGGCGTTGGTAAAATTGGCTTCTTAATAGAAAATCCCAATGGCTCCACCAATTTCTCCGATACAAGAACTTCACAGCAAACACTATCTACAATTAGATCACATACCTCAACGCAATCCACTTGTACCTTCTCTTTTCGTGCACCTTCCTCTTCTTGAACAAATTCTACAACTTCAAACTCTTCCTCAAATTTACTTTTAACACACTCTTTAAACTCATCGACTTCTTCTTCAAGCTTGCTAACATTGTCTTCTACGCTATTGTCGCTCTCTTCAACGTTGTTGATGCTCGCTTCAAGCTCGTTGAATGTCCCTTCAACTTCGTCGATGTTCACTTTGACTTCGTTAATGCCATCGTTAATAATAGCTACGCTACTTTTAACCTTTACGACAACTTCCTCTTCAACCTTTTCCTCTTCAACCTTGCTAACGTTCTCTTCTACCACGTTGACGCTATCTTCGACTTTGTTGATGCTCTCTTCAACCTCGTTGACTCCCCCTTCAACTTCATCGACTTTCACCTTTATTTTATTAATGCCATCGTTAATTATAGCTACGCTAATTTTAACTTTTGCATCAACAATTTCTTCTTCAACTTTGTTAACTCGTAGGCCATGATCCTCCACCAAACTGGGTTCTTGAATAACGAATGAAGTATCTTGTGCCTTCTTAACTTTGGCAACGGGTGGAACATCTTTGATTTTTCTAGAAGAACTATTTTGCTTCTGATAATATTCCTCGCTCCATGCAAACTCTTCAGCCTCTTCAAGGGAGTCGAATGCGCGCCACCCCATCCTAAGACGGATTGAAATATTCAATCCTTGCAAGTACCTTGAAATTTCCATACTTTCGGATTCTTGCAGGTTATTTAAGTTTGCTAGTCTCATAAACTCAGCAGTATACTTGTTAACAGATCCTACTCCCTTGCGAACAATTATGATATAGTTGTAATAGACGTTGCTCATAACCTAGGGGTAAAAAACGATCCATTAACATTTTTCTCATCCTCCTCCATGATTGGATTGGAAATTTTTCTTGTCTAGCTCTCTTCCTCTGTATTTCATCCCACCATGCGGCTGCACAACCCTTTAACTCACACCTTACCAATTTTACCATCTTATTCGGCAAAATACCCATCAATTCAAAATAATTTTCGACTTCTGACACCCAATTGATAAAATCCTCAACTTCAAGAAAATTTCCACTAAAAGAAGGAATTTCAGCTCTTACCCGATATTTATCACGATCCTTTTGCCTCTTTATAGGTGGGTTTTCTTCAAAATAAGAGTTGCCGCTCACCTTTGAGTAGTTATCATACCTTGATTGAAGTTGAACAGGTCCATGATAATCGTGTCTAACATATGTACCTCGGGCTACAACGTCGGCAATCATCGTGTTAGATTCAGTCCTTCTGTTGTTGTTGTTGTCAAGGGCAAATCCCTCGCGCACCAACCGCAGATTTTGTGGTTTCTCAACCCCGCGGTCATCGCCAACGTAGTTGTTGTCTCCATGTTTCGCACCTTTCGCCATCTAACCAGGAAAAACCTCGCTACTGATGCCAACTGACGCAGAACGGAAGCACGGTAAAGAATTAATTTCTACGAATTAATCCTATAGAACAAAATAACATTCGGAATCCACCGAAAACTCTGGAATCCACCAGAAAAATAGAGAAAACTCTAAAGATTTTATTAAAATTCGAAATTCTTCTAAAATAAAGTCCTAAGGCAGCTAATATACTAAAAAACTGAAAACCCTAATTAAAATAAGAAAATACTAAAAATTACCAAAAACGGCAAAAACGAGTTAGAGTCTGATTTTAGTAGATCTCGTAATTTTGGGAACAACCCAATTTACGGAATCCTAATCCGATTTTTCTATGATTTGATATTAATTTTCTAAAACTTACCTAAAATAGCAAAAACGAACTTTTGGGAGTCTAAACGACGTTGGATTGCTGAAATTTGACGTGATTCATGAGCTTTGCTCACGAGTTTTGTTCCTTGCGTAGTTTCACTTGAGATAGAGTTCGTTTCGTACTCAAATACAATTTGAGTTTTTCGAAAACCCTTACTTTTCCATAATTTCTTTCGATATTTCCACCAATGCCCATTAATAACTCTTCTCCGAATTAAATAGTTATTTTGCAACTCGAATCCAATTTGACGTCCCTTATCAAGATTCCAAGAGAAGAATATCAGAGAAAATACGAGAAGAAAATATTCTAATGTCTCTCGAATAAAAATTACCTTTTATCAATAAACGTAAAGCATTTATATACGGAATCTTACTATGGGCCAGGAATGTGATCTTGGGCTTTTAATTGATGATTGGGCCCAAATATTATAGTTATAATTTTTGGGCTCATCATATTTTTGGCCCATGTACATCACATCGATATTTTAAAGTTCACTATTTGATTTTGTTTTGAAACCTTGATATTTACACCTACATCCTTCATGTTTCAACTTATTACATTCAACTTCCTTTTTTTTCAGTAAGAGTTTTTCGCACTTTTATTTACAAAAATACCCCATATTTTTAATAGCTAAAAATCTATGAAAACAATATAAACGTGTTTATAAAATGTTGCAACGCATTATTTGAGCACGAAGAGAGATGTTTTGGCGCATTCATTGAACATAAAGGGCCCTTTGTCGAATTTTCAAATTTTCATCGCCAAATTTTAAAGTTCACTTTAAAATTTCAGTCAATTTCACAAGTTCGGTGTCACTTTTTAATCGACTTGAAGAAGTTCACGACCATTTATTTTAATTACTCAATATTCAAAAGCTCACCACACTATCAATTTTCAGTTAATACGTCAAACTTCGCTACCAATACTCATAAATTTAGTGTCGAAGTTTGTAGTATTGATGGAATTTCGAAATTTATTTGATTTTCATCATTTGCATAAAATATTTAATAACACAATATAAATAATAACTCATAATACAAAATTATTTATTGGTACGTAAAAGTTGGAATTATTTAAAAACTAATAATAATAATATTAATACAAATTTAATTAGGAGTAATAAATGAATAATAATTAATAAAATACCACCGTCAAAGGTCTCAATCTTTCTTAACCACACCCATTGACCCGTTTCACTTTTTGTGTTTTTAACTTGACATTAAATATTACTCTTTATTATTTAATTACTTTTTCATTTTTTACTCCATAGTAAAAAAAGGAAGAGAAAAAAAAAAAACGCGACAACATTGAATCCGCAAAAGAAATTCCTCAAACCCAAGATATCCCCCCTTCAGCCACCGCCATGGCCGAAATCGAGCAGTCAGCCCCTCAATCCGAGATCTCAAACACCACCACCGCCGAGAAATACCCCAACGTCTCCTTCAGCATTTGGCCACCGACCGAGCGCACGCGCGACGCCGTGAGGAACCGCCTCGTCCCCCTCCATTCTGTCCAAGCGATACGGCACCGTTTCCTAGAGGCCGGGAAAAATAAGTGATTTTGCCCCTTTCAAACTCACGTGATCTGCACATGTTTCAGATTTCGGTGGATCTTGCCTGAACATAGCCACAATTGATCTTAATTTAGAGGTAAACTGTTTTTTACTCAAAAAAAAAGAATGGGTCTCTCACTAATAAAGGAAAAGGAATCTATCCTCATTAAAATAAAACAACAGAGAAAATAGTCCATATATATATATATATATATATATATATATATATATATATATATATATATATATATATATATATATATATTTGTTTTAAGTTGGAAAGATTGTAAAGATACATTTAATCTAAGTAGGAGATCTTTGGTATATACTAATTTCCTTGTTCCATTAAATTTCCTTTACTTTGGAAAAGTAATCCTTCTCTACATAACCTCTTCCCCTACAAACTCTTCCCCTCTCCCCCACCCCACCCCACCTCTTCCCCTACAAACTCTCCCCCTCTCTCCCCACTCCACCCCACCTCTCCTACTCTCTCTCTATATATATCTCTCTCTAACTCTTATATAAACACAACAATAACAACAAAAAGAAAACAAGTAGAAAAAAAGGATAGACTTTTGTTGAAAAGTGAAACACCTATTTTAATTTGTTTGTTTGTTTGTTGGCTTGATAATAATGAGTAACTACATCAAACAAGAACCCTCTGAATCATCATCAGACATGTTTATGAAAAAGAATCGCAGCCGTCAAACAATTTCGTTAATCAGTATCGGTAGCAGTAGCAGCGATTCCGATGAAGATGAGTTTGGTACCCAACTTAACCCGAACAAGAAGCAGAGAGTCGAAGCGGTTCTGCCGGCTGGATTCCTCGATCCTATCCGGCCAGAAAAACCAACCGCCGCCGCGCCGCCTATTACCGCAGGTAATGCTATGGTTCCGGTGAGGGAAGAGATTAATAATGTTTCGGCGGCGGCGGCGGAAAAAGGGAAGCGGGCGGCGGTTACCACTAATACTGCGGCTGTGGTGCGTAACTGTAAGCAGTTCTGGAGAGCCGGAGATTACGAGGGAATCTCTAACGGCGGCGACGTTTCACTTGGTACGCTTACTGACATATTTCTTTCTTGATTTATTAATATTTAATATTTCATGTTTAGTAATTGTTTCAATTTTTTATTTATTTTTCATCATTTAGTGCGTGGTAAATAGTATTAAATCTACTTTATGCACGAAAGTAAGAGTGTAAATTAAATAAAATTCTATTCAGATTTATCCAAAGTTATGCGGTTGGTTATATATTAATTAGATTAAATTTATATTTAATATTTAATAGCTCTTAGCACCACATTAGATCCGATATTAGTCCAATCTCAAGGCAGTAAAAGTATAATTATTTAAATGTAATGACAATTGACAGTGTGTAATAATTTTTTGCAGCTGACATGGATCACGTTAGGGTTCATCCTAGATTCTTGCATTCAAATGCTACCAGTCACAAATGGGCTTTGGGAGGTAAGTAGTTATTTAATTAATTTTTATTTTATATAGTTATAATAATTTATTTGATTTTTTTTATTTTTAATGTATCCCCTAACTGTGAATTTCTTTTTATTTATTTCAGCTTTTGCTGAGCTTCTAGACAATGCCTTGGACGAGGTACTTGTTTCATTACAGTGGCCTTGACTATATTTTATTTTTGTAATTGTTGTATTTATTTTGTTTCGTATATCAACAAATTTTTGATGTTATATATATATATATATTCATTAAATTAATTTAGGTGTGTAATGGAGCTACCTATGTCAATGTTGATATGGTTATGAAAGCCAATACTAAGATGTTGGTTGTTCAAGGTATTAAATAATCCTTTGTTTTTTTTTTTTTTTTTTTTTTAATTAATTGCCAAATTACAAGTTAATCTTGCAATGTGTTATACTATATTAGTTTAATTCTATTTTTGTGGCTACTAATTAATAATTATGGATATGCAGATAACGGTGGCGGCATGACTCCGGATAAGATGCGGCAGTGCATGTCGCTCGGGTATTCTGCAAAAAGCAAGATGGCAAACACTATTGGTCAATGTACGTCGTCGGTCAACTAACATTCTTTTACGAAGACATCATTCATCTATAATAAATTAATTATAATGACATCAACAAATATTTCGTTTCATTTCGACAGATGGAAATGGTTTCAAGACTAGTAGCATGAGGCTCGGAGCAGACGTGATTGTTTTCTCGCGCTGTCGGGGCAAGTACGGGCTAAGGTACTTTTCTTTTTTTTTTTTTTTTTTTTTTTTTTTTTTCCGATTTTTTAATGACAATCGAAATATGGGGCGATTATATTTATCGATGTTTATATATATTTTTTTGCCTTGTAGCACAACACAAAGCATCGGATTGCTGTCGTTTACGTTCTTGCAGAATACCGGGAAGGAAGATATAATAGTTCCGATTGTGAGTTTAATTTGCTGGTCTATTAACAATTTATTCTTATGGACAAACTGTAAATACGTAAATAATATATATAGGAAAACGTGTTGCACGGATTTATGATGTGGTTTATTTGATTGTTTAGGTCGATTATGAGAAAACGGGAGAAACATGGAACAAGCGTTTGAAATCATCCGACGAATGCTGGCAAAGAAATCTTGAAACCGTCGTGCAATGGTCTCCGTATGATAGCGAAGAAGAACTCGTAGGACAGGTACTATTTCGATTTTCCGAAGTTTGATATATATATTATTATATTACGACTATAGCTTATAACTTCTATTAACTAATTGTATGCTTAATTTTTTGTCTAGTTTAATTTCTTGGAAGATCAAGGAACACGTATCGTAATCTATAATCTCTGGGAGGACGACGAAGGATTACTAGAACTCGATTTCGAGGCCGATCAAAATGTACGTTTTTTCATACTCGAATACTATTTAATTATTTTTCATATTTATAATTTTTATTTTATTTTATTTCAGGACATTCAAACTAGAGCTGGCAACAGAGATGACAAGAAGTTAATGACAATAGCAAATGACCACCCAAGCTCTAGGCGGTTTCTTACTTATCGACACTCGTTGCGGGTACAGATATAATACTCGTTTTTTCTCGTTAATTTGTTTTTCCTTCTTTTATAAACGTCGTTAATTAATTTTTTATTACATGTTTAATTTTTTTTACAGAGCTATGCGTCGATTTTGTACCGTAGGATTCCACCTGGTTTCTCGATCATCTTACGAGGAAAGGAAGTCGAATATCACGACATAGTTGATGATTTGATTCACCCTCAAAAGCATGTTTACAAGCCGGTAGCTTGTGCATCATCCAAAGATCCCAATGTAATTAAAAATATTAATTAATATTTTTTTACCACCCTCTAATCTTTCGTGCTATACGCAAAAACGGGCCCATAATTATTTAATTAATTATATATTTTTTAATCTTATATTGTTGCAACAGATGTCTGCAGCTGTAACACTTGGATTTATTAAAGATGCAGGACATCATATTGATGTTCAAGGGTTCAATGTATATCATAAGAACAGACTTATTAGGGTTAGTTTTGTTTCTAACTTTCTACTCTCTTTATTTTTCTTTAATTTTTTCGTAATCAATATAATTTATTTTATTTTATTTTTGTAAAATCAGCCGTTTTGGAGGCTGTGGAACGCCTCGGGAAGTGACGGTCGAGGAGTCATAGGTATTATTTTTACGAGTATTTCGATTTACATTTGTTATATAAAATATAATCATGTGGATTTAAAAAAAACGATAATTACATCGTATATATTTCTCGCTTTACGTATTTTTTTAAGGTGTTTTGGAAGCGAATTTTGTCGAGCCGGCACACGATAAACAGGGATTTGAGCGCACAACTGCGCTTTCTAGACTCGAGGCTAGACTGATACATTTGCAGAAGACTTATTGGTTTGTTCTCCTTTTTTCAATTTATTTTTATTTTTCTTATAATCTAGTGAATATATATAATTTACTGATTTGGAAAAAAAATATATAATTTATTTAACAGGTCTACAAATTGCCACCTGATTGGTTACGCTCAAAGGCGTCACTCAAAGAAGCCCGTTTCCCCCGAGAAAGAAGAAGCATCACCGCCTAATGCTGACGATAAGTCGAACTCCACACATAATACAACGTCGGCCCCGAAATGGAACGGCAAAAAGGGCCAAAAATCATCGCCTGTTGTTAGAGAGAGAAATCGGTTTGAGGCACAGCCAGCTGTAAATCATAACACCTCGTCTTCTTCTTCTCCATTACGAGTGGCGCCTGAATCAATGTTTCCACCACAAGATGCTCAGCCTTCGAACATGCTTGTCAAGGTAATAAACGAAATCGTGTTTTTTGGTTTAATTTTTCAGCTTCTCATGCATTTACTAATTATCTTAATTATTTTTCGGTATGTGAAAAAAAAATAGATAGAAGATGTCAACAAAGCTGGACCTACACCACCGTTTTCTTCACTTACTGAAATGGTTCTTAAGTTGATGGACGAGAATCGAAACTTGAGAAATAGGTATAGTAACTAAACTACTAATGCAATAGGAATCTATATCGGCGTTTTTTTTTTTTTAATAATATATTTTGAGCCCTTGATTTTGTATTTGCAGTTTGACGAATGCATTGCATGATTTGCAAAATGAAGAGGACAAGAACACGGCGCTGAAAAACCAGGTAATTAATTTGATTTTTATCGTGAGATAATGTAATATCTCAATTACACGAGTGGGTTGATTGGTTTATCGTTTCTTTTCCTTTCAATCTATATATCGAGAGGTGATGATGTAAATATTCTCCATTTTCAGCTTCAAGATGCAACGGATATTATGCAACAAATGGATCAAGAACAAGAAAAGTTTGTGACTTCTTTTGAAGAAGAAAGAAATCGACGAGAACAAGCGCAACAACATATGCAAAGAAGATTAAAGGTGTGTGTGTGTGTATATATATATAGCGACAATGTCGATTATCGATGTTAATTTGTGCTCTTGTTAATTCTTTTTTCTTTTTGCAGGAGGCTACTGAAACTATTGAAGGATTACTGAGAAAAGTGAAGATGTTGGAGGCCGGTTTGCATTGACACAGGGCCGGTTTTGACGACAGGCTCCACATGCGATTACTTAAAGACCCTAATTTAAGAACGTCTCGAATTTTATTGCTATTAATTTATAGTTAGATATATTTAATCATCATATTCACCCTTGCGATGCACGGAGGTGTGCGTATATTTCTAATTCATATCGAAAATATGTACATGCATATAACATATATGTATTCATATGACAAATATAAAGCTTGAATTTTTTGGGTTCTTACTATACTAACTCTTGTGCAATAGTATATACAAGGTTCTAAATATCGGTTATCGGGTACGAGGCGGTTAGGGACCGCCACACGATAAATCGGTGCGGTGGTGATTAATCGGAGAAATATCGGAAATAAATCGGTTTTTAGATTTAGTGTAATATATTTCTAAATATTATTTGTTAATACTGAAAACGTATAAAAAAAATTGAACTTGATTCTCTGCTCATCGTTTATATAAAATCTAATCACATAATAAAAGTTTAATATTTAGAACTTGATTCTCTCCTCATCGTTCTAATGTTTTTATTTTTAGGCTAGGTTCTTCTTACGTGGTTGGTGAGTTTGGGTTTGATTGAAAGAGACGATGGGTTGGAATTGAAAACAAAATAAAAATAAAGATAAACACCCTATTTTCCATGTAATAAAAAGTAAAAAAAAAAATAAAAAAAAAAAAAATATTTTTCCGATATATCGCTCGAAGTTTGACCTGATATATCGGTTTGACCCGCCACAAACCACCTCGGACCGCCTCACCGTCAAAAAACTGATTTTCAAAACCGCCACACAAATATTGTAAAGGTTTATGCCCGCCACCGATATGGCGGCCGATATATCGGCCGCCACAACCGGTATCTTGTTACAAATGCGATTAAATTGCGTAAAAACAAACAGAAACCCAAAATTCGTTAGTGTCTTTGGTATGAACTGTAGCATCTACATAAATAACTTTTGTATATAATTTAGGGGTTTTTGTGCATAAGTCACTCACCTACCATTT